GAACATCGTGGTGATGCATGGCCCCCTGAAGATGGTCACCGTGGAGCCCGGCCATGGAGGCCGCAGCGGCGGCATGTTGATAGTGCTGGACCGATAATCCACTGGCAGAACCGGTCACCAGGTCCTGGAGACACAGTTCAGTATTACCGCCACCTCCGCCGGCGAGTTCGAGGCCTCCCCCGCCCCCGCCGCGCTCCATACTGTAGAAGGTTAACGTCGTGCCGACTGTTCCGTACACCTCGGACAATAATACTGCCCTCCACTTGTTAACAATAACAACAACAACAACAACAATTCACTCAATTACTTTGAATATCAATACCAAATAAAAAATTAATTTCACCAACTAAATATTTTATTTTACCACTTAAATTTACTCTCAATTAGTTCATCAATCAGCTTATCAACTGGCAACATTTACAATTAATAAACATTTATTATATAATCAATAAATTAATCAATGAACCACAAATTCACTTTATTTCCAAAAAAAAACTTTATTAAGTCTTAGTATTTTTCCTTCAAACTAATTCCACTTGCAAATCTTAAAAATCCAATTAATCCTAAAGAACGCGCACTTAAAATCAGCAATTAGTATAAGGTCCAAGTCTCAACTAAAAAACCAATTTCCACTCGACAACACCTTGGTGTTAGCTACTCAAAATACTCAACTAGCACTCGCGACTACAACAGTCACCGTTATGAAGCAACGATACGAGCGGTGTGTCACCGAGCAGGCTCCACGACGCGAGTCGACGCACATACACACACCCAGTCAGTCCCGTGTGTCGTAACAAACCGCGTAACGCGTAATTAAACAATTGTTTTATACCACAAATAACTGAACCCAAAAATATATTATTGTCTTGGGAAGAAATAAAAAAAAAAACGCACATTCAAATCAGAGAAGAGTTTAGCAAAAATTTCTGGCAGTAAACCAAAGAAAAAGCTCTAGCTTCTGCTCCAGGTACGCGGTGTGAGGTACGAATGAGCTTATGGGCAATATTTATCAGCAGGTGAGTAGTCACAACACAATAGCACCAGACCGGGTTGTTTTCGATTGTCAGTAGTGTGTACAGACAGAGGGTCGACGAGGAGGCTTAACCGATAGATCCTTTCGGACTGGCTGCCGGCTTAAATCGGTAAGTCTTGGTAAGCTCACGGATCTAGTGGTCTTGGATGATGTTATACACAGTGCTTGTACGGTAGATGTGCTCTACTGGCTAGATCTGGCTAGCTGGCTTCTGTGTTGTGTTGTGTTGTGTGTTGTACAGTGTTGAGTAGTAACCGCCTATACCCTGTACCCAGTGATAGTCTCTGCTCTCAATCTCTATCTCTATCTTCCCTCACTATTATACTCTTTTCTTCTCTCTATTCTACTCTAGATCGTGTAACTAGTGACTAGTCTTCTCTATCTGTACTGTGTGGTGTATGTAGTACTGGATGCCGGCTAGCCAGCCTGCCTGACTGTCTGACTGCGCCGCTCGTGTTACGATCCCAATCCCAGACTTACTCCCTCTTCATCTCTGAAAGCTGCTTCCATAATACACAACACCCCTTCCCCTTCTCCTTTTTTTCCCTCCTCTATCTCTGTCTCTGTCGCTATCTCCGTCAACACTGACGCAGACCACTACTACTTGCTCATCTATCTAAATGATACCTATACAGCACGAGCGCGAGTCAACAATTCGGAGCTTCGCTGTTCCGCCGCTTCACTTCGGCGCGCAGCATCACTGTGTAAGGGTGCAAAAGTCCTCTGGAGGGGAAACCACCAAGTGGGGATAAGTTAGCCACTCCTATTGGCGGTGATACGCGACGAGGGTTGTAAGTATAAAGGGTAATGGTGTAGTCAGCCCCACTGGGCACGATGATATGTATCACACAGCCACTCGATCTCTGTGTTGAGTTTTTTGTATTTTGGTAGTATAGTGTATATTCAAGTACTCGCCGCTTCAACGCAGAGCTTTTCTCGGTGATGTGTGATATACCTTTTTCTATTCCATGATACACCTTTTCTCCACAGGGTATATATCGCGGTATAAGTAACTGTGTGAGTATTCAGATTTTTTGCTTTTTCTTCGCTTTGTTTTTGTTTATTTTTATCAAGTGTTGAGACGGAGATATGCTTCAGGATATATATGTAAAATTTTGTTTTTTGCAGATAAATAAAACAGGAAAGAGAATTTTGAGGAAAAAAGTTAATATTTTGAGGATATTGTAATTTTTAATCCTTTAGTTGGAAGAGCGTTTTATGGAGTTAAATTTTATTATGAGAGTTTTAGTTAATCTGAACTCAAAACTTGAAAATGATAAGCTTGCACTTGATTTTGAGATCATGGTCAAAACTGTATTAATTTTGTGGAAAAAGGTTAGCTTTCATCAGTCTACTTGATTCGGTCTCAAAATAATTGATTAAAGCTCATCAATAAAACTCAGAATTATTACTTTTTTTTTTTAATTAAACAAAAAAAAAGATTTACTTGAGCCAAGAAAATTAATGAAAAAATTCAAATTAGTCTTAGTTTAAGTGAAATTTTTCTTGAAGCAAAAAATGAATACTAAAAAAATAATATTATAAGACTTAATTTAAAAATAAAAAAAAATTTGATTTATTTTTGGGAGAACATTGAGATAGTTGGGTCAAAAGTAAAGCAATTATTAGGGAATAAAATGGAGTAGCTTAAGTGAAACTAAAAAGTAGTGAATGTAAAGGTCATTGCAAAGCGGTCGAGGTTAGATTGAGGTAGTACATACGTCAACTGTTAACGTTAACGGGGTGGTAGAGGGTAGCCAAGGAAGAAGAAGAATAAGATGAACAAGAGGAAAATAAGAGGAGAAGTAAACTAAAGGAAAAGTAGACTAAAGGAAGAAAAGGCTGAGAAGTAGAACAAGAGCAAGAAGAAGTAAGCAAGCTTCAGGGAGACAAATGACGGCGAGGCCACGCCCACAATCCGCGGGGGCGTTGTTAAACGTACTTATGTGTGGAGGATTGAGCATGTGTGATATTGGGGCTTGTGGAGATAGGAGTGTATCTGCGTGTGGTGTGATTGAGGTAGGAGAAGTATGTGAGAGGGGAATCGTTGATTTTTTAACGGAGAACAAACCCTAGCCCGACGTGCTCACGTATCCAATCCGTGTATGAATTGTATGTGTGTTCATGTGTTCATATTGGACATGTCTTCATTTCTGTGTGTAGAAGAGAATAAGAGAGAGCTGAGAGAAGTAAATGTGGGAACGTGCTGAAATGTTCAGTTAACATTGGATTGATGTAGATAGTATACAGTATCAACTAGAGTATATATAGCTATTGTAATTTGATAATTGGAGGATTATGGATTACCTGTATATTGGCTTCGTGGTCGTTGATTATTATTGGCTCTTTTGATTCATCCGATCTCTCATATATGTCATTATGTATGTTCGTATCAATTGTTTATCAATAGATTTATGTGTAACTGATTAATTGTATGACATTATAATTTTGGCAATAAATATAATATTATTCGAATTCAATTTGTAAAATAAATTATCTTGACCGTTAAAATAAAATTTTTTAATTTCTGTCTGGTTTTACATAATATAAATATAAGATTTCAACTCTCATGATTTTATTGATAATTTTTGAATTTATACAAATTTTTTTACTATACATACATAAACTTTATGCTTTAGTCAGAAAAAAGTTTTGCAAATAATAAGAAATATTCTAATTTTCAAGGATTGAAAAACCAAATTTTGACAGAAATTTAAAATTTTTATATCAAATTTAATTAAAAAAATTTCTAAGTATGTATTTTATAATTTTCAAACGAGCAAAAACATTTTTTCATTTTTTTTTTAATAAAAACAATAAAGAATCCTCTACACTAATTTTTTACTGTATTGTTATTTTTTTTTTTTTCCTAAGATTTATTTTTTAAGTTTAAATTATTTTTATCTATTTAAGTTTAAAAGAATATGTATGTATGGTTCAATTATTAACAATAAAAACACATAGGATATTATATTTAATTTCAATTTTATTCTTAATCTAAATTTACAATCATATTAACTATTAAAATTAAGTTTAATTTATTTGAAATAATTATTCAATTTTTAACATAATTTTTTTTGACAGATTCTTCATAATTCCTCGATCCTTGATGATGGTTTGCTGAGGGTGACCGCCTCCGTTTACTCAAAGGTAAGGGTGAACTTCTGTGATTTCTCGCGAGGACCTGGAGCTTTCAGGCTTACACCTCCGGTCCCTCTTCTGGATATCCTTGTTTTTGAAGATATCTGTAACAAAAATTGTTGATAATTAATTATTTTGACAATCACTAATTTATTGATTATAAAATAATTTTACATAAAGTGTTGATAAATGTACTTACCAAAGATGGCGAGGTTAAGTTATCATCTTTTGTAGATATATTTAAGTATATTAAAAAAAAAAATATTTATTTATGATTTAAATAATAAAAATAAAAAAACACGTGGTTATTACTATTAATTTTACTTTTATTGCTAACCTATAAATACACAATTATATTTATTATTAAAATTAAATTTATTTTATTTAAAACAATTGTTCAATTCTTAATATAATTATAATACTAACACTAAAATGTATTTACAATTATTTACAATAATCAATTTTTTTAAAACATAAATATAAATGTACAAAACAAAAAATGTTTACTAATTTATAATAATTAAATTAAAATATATTAATAATGAAAAATTTTACAATTAAAAATAAAAAATAAAAACATGATTAAAAATAAAAAAAAAAATATTTACAAAATTAAAAAAGAAATATTAATAAAATTAATAATTTTTAATTACACTCCATGAATCTTAACGCCTCTTTGATCCATGGTAATTACTCGATGAGGGTGACCGCCTTCGTTTCCTCGAAGGTGAGGGTGATCTTCTATGAGTCCTCGAAGACCTGGGGCCTTCGGCTCTAAATCTCTGGGTCGTCTTCTTGGCATCCTTCTCTCGGAGGTACCTTTGGAATGCATCCAGAGGATCGTCGATTGTCTGGTGATGCTGGTAATTGCCGTAGTCGTAACCCTGGTATGATGGATAAGCGTCCGTATACGACGGTTCCCATCCTTGATATTGTTGATACAAGGGGTACTCATACTCAGTTTGATACCCCGAGCTTTGATCATATGAGGACGGATAGTGCCAAGCACTGTCAACGACGCTCGAGGTATAGCTGCTTGGCAAGTGTTCTCCAGTACTCTCCGATGATGATGGCAGTGATGATGATGACGTTAACGGTGACGTTGACACTAACGGTGACGGTGACACTAACGGTGACGGTGACGAGGTTAAGGTCATCGATGGTGCTGGTGGAGTTGACGACGAAGACAATAATGGTGGTGGCGGTGGTGGTAATGGTGATGACGTTGACGGAGACGGTTTCGGTGACGAGGATGAGGGCTTTGATGGTGCCGGTGGAGTTGACGATACTGGTGGTGATGGTAATGATGATGCCGTTAATGGAGATGGAGATGCTGATGGTGGCGATGGCGATGATGATGAAGACGATGGTCGTTGTGGTAGCCGTGGTGATGATGATGAAGGGGGATGTTCCTTCAGCCCAGTATACACCACGTATTTCCCCGTTGCGGTAAGCATCGCTCCGGAGACTTCAGGGCCCTCAACTTCTTTCAGCATCGACTGCGGGATACCTCTGGCTTTTTTTATAGAAGCCGGTTTCCCATTTATAGTAAAAGTGCATTGGTAAACCCAATGCCCCGGCTTGTGACATCGCCGACAGATATACGACGTTAGCACCGGTCCACTTTGATTACGTGGGACTTTTAACCATTTTGATGGTAAATAATCGGCTGTGGACAGCTCCATCATCTTCATAATTTTATCCACATCAGAACCTTCCATTTTCGTTAAATCCACTTGTTTCCGGCAGGCGGCATCCTCTTTTAACTTCTCCAACTTCTCCTGGAGTTCAACTTCTTGGCGCTTCCACATAAGCTTCCTTTTTCTCTCCTGGAGTTGATCCTCCGGGATCAGTCGTCGTATCAATAAAATCCTTGTATTGCGGCGCACGACATCCTTATCCTCATACTCGATATTTGTTTCCAGGTTGAAACCTCTCAGGTCCCACTCCCGGGCTTCAGACGCACGCATTTGTCGAATGACGTCAGTTTTTACATCACTGATAGCGATCGAAATCTCGTCAAAATAGACAAGATAGAATTTCTCGAAATTATTGAGTTTGCACATCACAGACATTTTGCTTATTTCTTTTTTTTTTATTTTAAATTAATAAATAAAAATAAAACACAAAAACACAGCGATGTTTCAAATTTTATAAAAGTTTTAACTTTTTAGATATATTAAATACACTAAAAAGTATGCACTTACAGAAAAATTAATTTTTCAACTATTACACTGTTACGGCAGTTGTAGAAAATAAATTCACAAAACACACGTCTGTTCAGAACGAAGGATTGCAAAAAGTGATTCTTGATTTGGATATAATGAACGATGTAAGCTTTTACCAAAATTATGTATACTAATTGCATCCCCTCTTTTAATTGTAAGGCCCAATCAACGTTGACCAGGTGCTCTCCTAACTCCTACACTAAGGGCCTAATGAAATTTTACCTGAAAATGTCTTGCTCTCAATGCTAATGAACCATGACGGTAAAGAGATTTAAGTATACTATTGTATCCGGGGTATGAAGCCGGATAATTGTAAATTAATAGACAATAAGTTCTTTGAATTGAAAAACATTATAAAGAAAATTAAAAGTGCCCATTCAAGTATTTTTAATTTTTCTTTGAGTATCTATTTTAAACTATTACTTACAAGAACTAAAAATTGATTTATTTTAAAATTATTTAGTATAATTAAACATCAAAAGCATTAGATTGTAATACATAGATTAAAATATTTATCCATATATTTTTGAATATATGTGTATTTATAAATGCCAAAATAAATGTGTACTGTATATTGTATATAGACACATATCAATTGACATCTATGCTTATACAGATGAAAGCATATCTTGAAACATACAATCGCATTCATTAATTCGAAAATTCTAAACTCTGAAATTTAAAAATCATAATTTTTTTTCATTTGTAAAATAAGCTAAATGTAAAACAAAAAATTTTTAAATGTTAGTATTTAACAAGTATTTTTAACTAACAAGTATTTCTAACTAACAAGTAAATTCCTGTTACAACAAGAAATAAGACTGTCTGGCAAAAAAATTTTTCTCCCCTCCGTGCGGAAAGCGTCAATTTTCCGCTCGCTGCGCTAAACGAAAATGCCACTTTCCGCCTCTGTCGAGGAGAAAAATAGTATTCTCACCACGGGCAGGAAATAAGAAATGTCTCAGATTACATGTAATCTGAGACATTTCTTATTTTCCTGCCCCAGGTAAGAAAAATACTATTTCCTAATTTGTAAACAATGAATTTAAAAATCCCGTCATAATAAGTACTTAGTTTTTGTTACTATTTGCTCATTGTACTTGTAGCCGTAGCTCCTAATACCTGTCTCGTTCAAATGCACTTACTAACCCAAATGATCACTATCATTATAATGTACTTAAGGAACAAATATTTTCAATACAATAGTTTATGAGGTATTTTACAACGTCCTTTTTAATGAAATAAAAATAATCTATTATATTCATTACCAAGAATAAGTGCAAATTTAAATGACAAGTACAAGGGAAAGTCCGACGAGTTCATAGAAAAAGAACAGATGTCCGTCGAGACTATTGTTACTTTATAATTACCGTGTAAAGTATTAACTCGGTCTTTTAGTTTTGATTTTGAACTGTCATTGGCGCCAGGCTCTACCGAGCCTATAGATACGTATTTCCAAGAAACCTTTTTTACTCTAAAAAAATTTTTCAAAATCATGTTCTTAGTCTAAAATTTTATCTCAAATCAAGTTAATTTTTTTTAATAAATTAATAAAAAAAAATCATAAATTTCTCTTATCACGAGAATTTCATATGAATATCGTTAAATTAATCAAAACAAAATTCCTCAACACAATTATTTATAGACACTATTTATTCTTATTTGTAATTGTTATGTAAAGAAATTTTTCTTTACATATTTATTAACTATAAAAATCGAGTATGATTTTATTTAAATTTTAACGATTGTAAAAGATAATTCGAGTGCGGTCATTAAGTGTCTCGTTCGATTTTTGCAAAAGGCCCAGGGAAATTTCGGTAATTAGTCTGGGGCCCAGGTATATTTAAGAGATTAAATAGATGGAATCGGAGTTTTGTTATGCGTAAGCAAACTCACCTATACTTAAAATAAGAAATACTTAAGTAATGATAAAGAACATTAGATAAAAGATTTATTTTAAACCAAAAGATTTTAGAATAATTTGATTACAAAATTTTAGTGTTGAGACAAATATTGAAATAAATTTTAATAATGAACTTTCTGAAATAATTTTTAGACAACAAAATTAAATATGAAAAGAAAAACAAATAAAAAAAAATAGAGCTTGAAAGTTAAATAATTAAAAATAAACAAATATTAAACTCTAAAATAATACAATTATTAAATTCTAAAATAATACAACAAATTTATAAAACGACAAAACAGAAATATTTCTACAAATAAATAATTTAAATTCAAGAAAACGTAAGAGTAATCAAGTTATTTCTTGGGTCAAGTAAACGTATCGGCAAAATGTAGTATCATAAAGAGTATGTGTGTCTATCATTATCGACTACAGAAGGTAGTGAATGTGGATACATATGTAGAGATAGATAGATATACCCTAAGATCAATTGACGCCGACATGCTCGATTGTGTTTTATTAACGATAGAGACAAGTATGGCGCAAACAGTATGTATTTTTTTCCTGTAAAACCGCTTTTTTTAGATTCCTATCGAACACTAGCGGAGATAACGTTTTCTTTGTGTCTGTCTATACGATAAAATAGGACAAAGAACTCGAGTGCGGATCTCATCAGTCGCTTTTTATTTTTAGTTAGTGTTAGTATTGTTTTATTTATATTTATTTATTTATTGATCAATCGACAGAAATAACAAGCCAATTACTGGATCTGACACATCGTTTAATATTGTTTATCAAACTCGTATATCATTTCTCATTTTTGATGCGCTTTTTTTCTATATATATACACAACAAAAATCGGATAGATGTGTAGTAACATTTGATATAAATAAAAATTATATTAAGCATTTGAAAAACTTGATTAAAAATCACATAACGTTACCATTATATGCTTACGAGTTTTTATTATCTCGTTTGAATTTCAGACAGGGCAAGTCGTAATTTTATGAATCTAACACGCTAAAAATTCCAATGATACCCAAGACTTTACGATCGGACACGATACTAAAATGTAATACGTGTGAATATAAAATTGCTCTATATTCCATTTATTATAGATGACAATATAACACATAATACATTTTATTTTCTTCAAGATACATGCGATATATGTACTTAATAATAATAAATATATTTATTCAACAGTCACAGCAAAAATAAACTCTTTATTACAGGGACCGGAGATAAAGTTTTTACATTCAAGGGGTATATTTTGTATTTATAATATGTGTTGTCTATTTTTAAAAAAATTATTGTAAATTACTTAAAATTTCAGTAAATAATTTAAAGAATATAACAGTAAAATTTCACAATAAGTATGAAAAATTTTTTTCAGAAAAAAAGTAATTTCTAAGAATTTAATTATCTTAAATTGGTCAAAAAAAATTCTTTTTGGTTTAAATAAATTTTTAATAAGCCATTTAAAAAATTTCTCGCAATTAAATTAGTCAAAATATCAGTTGAAATTTGAATAAAAAGGGCCGTAAAGTGTAGCAACATTGCAACGATGTTTAGTAAAGAATTTAAGAAAAAAATCTTGTAAAAGTTAGGGCTAGTGTCTCTGTTATTCTCCAGGTTGTCATACCCCTGAAACGTTTCTTTTTTCTCATATTAGTTAAAGAATACAGAGTATTATATACAGAGTAACATCTTACACTGACGTCGGTTGATTTTTTCCAACCCTCATCTTCTTCTTCTTCTACTCTATACACAGGCAAGCCGCTAGGTCGTTACAACGCTCCGTCTTTACAAATTTTATATCATTTTTATGAGGCATAAAGTCGTCGAGAAGCCGACACTGCACGAGAAGAAAAAAGGAGCGAAGCAACACAACGAGCTCGAATCTGGAATATGAGGACCGCTGGGGGTGGAGGGTGGATGATGAAAAAATGAGAGCTGAAAGCTGAGGGAAGAAGACTTCAGAGAGAGAAAAAGTTTTGGCAGACAAAGAGACCCAGTATATAGGACTTGTTCTGCGCTCCAAAGTCACGTGCTGGGCGGAGCGGATTTTCATCCCTTCAGTGTTACCTTCCAAGGGTATAGAATATATACGGGGTATTCCATGCCAAATCGACCACTTTTGAACCCGACCCCTTTAGATTCAGCTGAAACTTTACTATTCTTTTCTACCCTTTGAAAGACACTTTTGAGAATTTTTTCAAATTTTTTTATCCAACCCAAAAAAAGTTATGAATTTTTCAAAAAAATGGCTTTTTTATTTTCAAATAGCCATAACTTTTTTAAAAATTGACTTTTGGGTACTTTTTTTTTTTAAAAATTTTTGTTTTTAAATGAACTTTTCGAAAAAATATACGAAAAAAATTTAACATGATCAATTATATAAAATAATCGGTTTTTTTAAGTAAAATCGTCATTTTTTCGAAGTCCGCCATTTCCTTTTTTTTTTTTTTCTCAAAAAAAACTTCAATTTATTCGACAACTATCTCCGCTAATCCCGAGCAGGGCCGATTTTTTTTTATATTTTTTTTTATTCATTTAAAAAAAAAATTGTCAAATTTTCAAAAATGGAAAAAATTTTTTTTCCGTAAACTTTATTTCTATCATAAAATAAAAATAATTTAACGATTTTGTGATACAATTCTCAATTTATAGATTTAATTT